GATGGTAGCACACTCATCCTCAGGTAACACTGTCATCTTGCTACCATCTCTCGTGACATTCGTAACCTTCCGCAATCTTTATACAACATTCCCTGTGGCATTCGTGCCACCTCAAACATTTCCTCCTTCAAAGGAGAAGCTCCTGCGACCCCATCTCCATACTCCAAAAATCATTCATCACCTGTAAGTTCAGCTCGCTGCACATCCTCACCAGTCTTTCGTATTCCTGTTTCGGAAGCTTACAGATCCAATCGGGAGTAACCAGCTGGAGGTTCCTTGGTTGTAACATCCTGACTTCTTGGGTGAATATCCTTATCCTCTGTGCTATTTGGTAGGTTCGTGATCCGTTTTGGTGAGTGTGGCTTTGCAACTCTCGCTTTATTGACGTAGCCGTGCGGTTTTCCTGGGAGACATGAACATAGTCTCCAAGTCTCCTGTAAGCGTTTACTCGTTGCCCGTTCGGGTTAGCTGAATCCGTTGCTATTGAGAGCAGTCCTGCTACATCGTGGTTGGGCGTGGCTCCTGTTAGATCATGCATCTTCTCTGGCAAGGCTATCACGTCTAAAGCATACGGGAGCAGCATGTCGGCACTTCCTTGCTACTCGCGAGTTCTACCAAGTTCACCAAGCACCCTTCCACCATTAGGTATGCTCCAGTATCGTCTATTATAAGTTGTGCTTTCCTGGAAATTTTGTTCAGTTCCTTACGTAATCCATTAACTCGCTCGAGGAAACTTTCGGGGACTTGTAGGTGGTTCATATTAAATGTTTTTGCTGTGACAAAAGAAGTTTCGTACTTTTCTCCTTAAGTTCAGAATCTTCATGCTCTCCTGTCATCTCACGTGAGATGAAACCCCTTTGTTTGTAGGACTTTAGGTGGTTTCCATGTACAGGTCGATCGTTGCGTATTTCTCCACTTGTAGTTCACAGTATGTATGATCCATTTCCCAGGGCACAATGGATGAAATGGAATCCCGTCTACCTATTTTGAAATTTGTCGCCGTGTACGTTTTGCAGGTCCGAGCGATATTCTAATACCATATCGCGAACTTTGTACGTCATTGCTCTAATCCTTTTATCGTGGGTTTTCTTCTGTCTTGCCTGGGCATCTTTTATGTTTCCAACGGCCTTAATCTTGTTATCCGCGAATACTCCTACGGTCTCACTGATCCTCCTGTTAACTAGGTCTTCGAACTGTTCTTCGTTAATCTCCGTAGTTGGCCACGTAATGATATCGAGTTCTATGGGCAGGGTAGCGGCACGGCCGTAAAGCAAATAAAAAGGTTCATGCTTTGTCATTCTGTTTTTGATGGTTCGATATGCGAAAAGTGCTGAGGGTATCAACACATCCCAGTCATATGCTGTTTCTTCTACGCACTTCATCAGGGCTCTGCACAGCGTCTGGTTGAACCGTTCTGTTAGTCCGTTGCTTTGTGGGTGGTACACAGACGTTGTCACCGGTGGTCCTTGGTTTTCTCAAGAACCACCTAATAGAGTGACTTAACGGTTCTTTTAAGGAGTTTATAGTCCTTTCCCGAAGG